GTCTTACACTGTTAAATTAGACACAGCTAGCGCAGATAGCCCTCGTGTAGCTTTGCGCGAAATTCAAAACAAACATATGCAACAGAATCTCCCTCCTTGATATATATACAAACACACACAATCTTAGGCATGACTCGTGAAGTTTGTGACTTAATGATTATTGACTGAATTTGTTCGTAATCGTTCGTTTATTTTCGTCTAGCTTTCCGCACTGACAAAAACTGATCGTGATCTCAAATAGCGTATTACGAGTGTAATAATGCTCCACACATCTCATAATAACCAGGTAGAAACATTACGAAAGAAAAGAAAACTCGAATTCAACCATTTTATGAAGACAAACTCACTTCTTTCTTTCCTTCAAGAAGCAACGTTACAACGCACATCCTTGTGATATCGAATCCTTTCACTCGAGTGACATAAAACTTTTTCAAGACGTCGACAAAAGGAGTTAAAAGAGATTCGGCTTCAGGTTTTAAGGCTTGGCCTGAAAAAAAACAAAAACGAAATAGAAACGTGATTTAAAATATCAACTAGGAAGCGTTTTTGAGCTGAGACAAATCGAATAAATATATTATAAATGTTTGTCTTAAGGTGTGGTTGTTTTGTTTGTTTGTTTGTTTTTATTTTCGGCGGTATAACTTCAGAGAACTATGTACTGCAATTCTGTAACTGAGCTACACTTATTATTACACTTATTTTTGTTACTAATTTGAATATTCTATTTAAGATTTATGGGAAAGTTTGATAAAATATTATTATTATACTAAAAGTATCCTCATGATTATATACAGCTGGTACAAAATAGCTTTCTCTATAATAAGAGCCCCCCAGTAGCACAGCGGTATGTCTGCGGACTTACAACGCTAGAATCCGGGTTTCGATACCCGTGGTGGGCAGAGCACAGATAGCCCTTTGTGTAGCTTTGTGCTTAATTTCAAACAAAACAAAAAAAAACTATAATAAGAATCTTTCACATTACAATGTATCTTTAAAATAAAACATAGTTTCATAATTTTATTTTAAGCTTACCTAAAAGATCAATGCAATCAAAATTCAAACGAAAGCTCTATAAGATACGGACGAGCTTAAATCTGTCAAAATGCATATTTTATTAACAAATTGCCACAGTTTTGGCCAAAATTTTTGCATATTTTCTTACAAGTAAGATCGTTATTATTAAAATAGAATACAAATACACTTAGTACTGTCAAACTTAGAAATGCATGTTATATTAAACATCTACATACAGTGCCTTGCAAAATTATTCACCCCTACCAGTAATGTCACATTTTGATGAAATACAAATAATGTAAACATATTTTTTCATGAACTTGTTTTTATTCAAATTCTAATGATCAAATTTAACACTGTTATGTATGAAAGAAGTTGAATGTCAGCAAAACCTGCAAAGAAAATATATAAGTTGAAATTTGCTGATTGCATAAGTATTCAGTTCCCTAAATCAATACTTGGTGGAAGAGCCTTTGGCAGCAAGTACTGTGCTTCGGGTCATTGTCCTACTGAAATGTGAATTTTCGACCCAGTTTTAAATTCTTCGCTAACAGGTTTTGCTTTTGGACTTGCCTGTACTTTGCACCATCCTTCTCACCCCCCCCCCCCCAATCCTGAAAAGCTTCTCAGTCCCTGCTGATGAGAAGCATTCCCATAACATGATGCTGCCACCATCATGCTTGACAGTTGGGATAGTGTTGACTGGGTGAGGACTTGCGTCAGACATAACACTTTGAATTTAGACCAAAATGCTCACTTTTTACATGTTTGTCGTAAATTCCATACGAGATTTAAGATGATTCTTTATCAGTTAATTGCTTCTTTCTTTCAACTCGCCCATGCAGGCCTGCTTTATCTAGGGACCAGGATATTGTCGATATATGAATACTGACTCCCATCTAAGACATGGAAGTTTGCAAACCTTTGAAAGTCACTGTTGGCCTCACAGTGGCATCCCTAACAAGTTTCCTGCTTGCCCGGCTGCTTAGTTTGAAGGGTGGCCTGAACTGGGTAGTGACTAGGTGGTATGAAGCACATTCCACTTCTTAATGATGGACTTCACCGTAATCAAAGGTATAATCAGCGACTTGTAACCTTCTCCTGATTTGTGATTCTCTGCCATTTTATCCTTCACTTGTTTTGAAATCTCCTTGTCCTTCATGGTTAGTTTGTTGTATCACTAGGTGAGTTGTGGCTTGTTTAGATGCATTTACTCTGAAGTCAAGTTAAACCACTAATTTTGTGATCTTTCAAACTAATCTTTTGCACCTGAACTGATTTAGAGTTGTCGTAGCAAAGGGTTTGAATACTTATACAATTGAGAACATTCTAATTTTCTTTGAAAATCTAACTTGCTTACACAATATCAGCGTATTTTTAGCTTTCTCAGTTTGGAATAAATTGCGTAGATTCTAAATATACCCATTTAAAAGTTTCATGATTGCAAGCTCAGAAGGCAACAAAATTTGGAAACTGTACAGGGGTAAATACTCTTGCAAAGCACTGTATGTAATTTGTATAATGAGATAGGTTCTATGGACATCGTGAACGATTTATTAGAACAACAAATACTTTTATCAGACACCTGTAGAACGATCTGTAATTCAGAATTTCACCTATCAGAACAAAACCTTACCAAAACATATATATACTGACAAAATATTAGATAATATTATTATAAATAGCGTCTCAACGGTTAAGATATTTTCGGATGCATTTCGTATATGATAGGGTTTCAACATATTAATATGACACAGCTGGGTAGCCTTTCGACGATCAGGGACCATGATACCTAACTTTGAGTGGATGTCCCATAGTGGGTAATAATACCAAGGCCATGTCACCAGGATGGAACTTACGCTCTTCAGCCTTACAGTCATAAAAATTTTTCATTTTAACTTGGGATGACTTTAAATTTTTTCGAGCCAATTCACAAGCACGTAAGAGTCTGGACCGAAACTCGAAAACGTAATACAATAAGAGCATTTCTTTTGGATCATCTTCCAACCATTGTTCCTTCCATGGTTTGGGCAACTTTCTCAAAATGTTGGAAATATTTATCAACTTCATTTTCATTGAATGGTGGAACTTTAACATATCGATTAAGTTCAAAGTTGTCATTTTGGGCTATTTGAAAGTGCAATACGTAACATAATAAATTGGGAGCTCGTGTCCGAGATCTGAATCAGAGACAAAATTCGATATAAATTAAAATTTAAATCATAATTCAATTTATTTCTATAAGTGCAAAGAAGATTTGATCATGTTTGATTATCAAGATTTTCTTGAATCACCCTTCCTCAAAAAACTAGAAAGATATAACAAAAATGAACTGCTCAAAATTGCCAAAGTTTTAGAACTAGAAGTTAAAAGATCAATGAGAAAAAAGAATCTAAAAAAGCGTATTATCGAAATACTACTTGATGATGACTTGTTGCCTGAGGAAGCATTAGAGGAATATTCTAGTGTCCCTACTAGCCAATCGGGGTTGAATGATAAAGATAAATTAGAGATCCAGCTAAAACCCAAACAAATCGAGCTTGAACAATCTCGTATTGAAGCTCAGAAAGAACAAGCTCGTATCGAAGCCTAAATAAACGTCTCGATGTCGTAAAAACTCGCATTGAAGCCGAAAAAGAAATTAGGCTGAAAGAAATGGAAATTAGATTGAACACCGATCAACCAAGATGAAATTGAGTTAAATGATACTAAAAATTTAGTAGTTAAATTGTAATTTGGATTTAGTAGTTAAGTAAAAACCGATATATAGTCAGTTTATGATATTTGCCAACAATATTGATACACACACAGTTCTTTTTTTAAATACAAATATATTTTAATATATAAGCAATAATACAATTTACAATAACAGTTAATACACACAATGATTTATATACAGAAAGTTTACAAACTTACAAGCAATATAAATAATCTGGAACTTTCTTGATATCTTATCGAGGGTTCATGATGAGCGAGTTAATTAGGAGTTGATGTAGGTACGTTTCTCTATACGGGGAGCTAGCTAGCTTTGTCCTTCATTATTCACCAGCCACACACACCGAGTTTTCCACGATGAAGTTATATAATGTTTTCGTAAAAATACTAATTCCGATGAGAATCCACTAAAGTTAAATAATTTGTAATGTTCGAACTTTGTAAATGCTCCTGGTCAAATATCTGAAGTTTTCCGATTGATAAGCGTTATAACAATCACAGTTATAGCTTCTGAAACTTATAGCATACCAACTATAGCAAACCAATAATAGATACTCTTCTTTTCACGCTTTCCGTTGATTATATTTATAGGCGTGTGGAGAGTTTCTGGAAATTTAAGTTTTACGTAACAATACCGACGCTAACACAAGCGTTTACATACTCTAGTTTACTTATTCTCGAGAATCTTCTACAACTTTGGAGAATAGGCGGAAGTTTCGCAATACATATTTAACAGTATAAGCTATGTATATTTCTAAATATAAATTTAATCTAAACAAACGTCGATATTAAAATAAATATATAATAACAAATTCTCAAGTTCTCAAAATAAAGATAGTCATAATGAGACTGCAAAACATTATCTAATACTGTCTATCACAATGAGACCATAAAACATTTGCAAAATACAGATATTCTTAATGAGAATACCAAAATACAGGTAATGACAAAGAGACCATAAAGCATTATCAAAATACAGATAATCACAATCAGAACACGAAACGTTACCAACATATAGGTAATCACAGCGAGACCACTGAAAATTACCAATATTTAGACAATCATATTGAGAACACCAAACATTACCAAAATACACTGATCACAATATGAGCCCCAACAATTAACAAAATACATACAACCATAATGAGAACACCAAACATTACCAAAATACAGTGATCACAATATGAGCACCAACAATTAACAAAATACAGACAACCATATAGACAACACCAAACATTACCAAAATACAGTGATCACAATATGAGCATCAACAATTAACAAAATACAGACAACCATAATGAGAACACAAATAATAATAATGAGACCATAAAAATTGTAACGTTTCAAAATCCAGTTGTTGAATTACAGAGTGTAATAAAGAAAATATAAGTTTGTTTTTTTTAAGTTAAGCACAAAGCTACACAATGGACTATCTGTGCTCTGCCCACCACGGATATCGAAACCGGTTTCTAGCGTTGCAAGTCCGCAGACATACCGCTGTGCCACTGGGGGCGAATAAAGTATATAAAAAATTAATGGGATTTTATAAACAAAATAAGATATATACCTTGTTTGAAAACAAGTTTTGTGTTATGTGAGTCTGACTGTCAACACACGTTTTGGATTATGCCTCATGTAACACATAAAATGTTAAACAAAAGATACTGCTCTAATAAAAATATATTACTTATTTTTTGAAGGCGAGATTATAAGATTAAATTCCCTGCCACAGCAACTAACTCAATCCAGTAAGAGGCCCGGCATGGCCAGGTGATTAAGGCACTCGACTCGCAATCTGAGGATCGCGGGTTCGAATCCCTGTCACACCAAACATGCTCGCCCTTTCAGCCGTGGGGGCGTTATAATGTGACGGTCAATCCC